GAGACTACATTATCCAAAGAAAAGTCTAAAAAAACTAAAAAACTATTTCAAGTAGGTTTGATAGAAAAATTTAAACTAGAAAAGAATCTAAGAAATAGTCTAGAGTATAATCATAGAAAACAGTTTGAAGAAGGAGCCAGGGAGAAAAAATAATCTAAAGGAAAATCTAAAAAGGGATTTATAAAATAAACCGAGATATCGTATAGAATAATTTAAAGAATTTAGAGACAAATTTATAAAACAGTGCTAAGTCAACAGAAAAACGTAGATAAAACCTAGAAAATCCAATAAACGATTAAAAAAAATAAAGGAAAACTTAAAGAATAATAAAGACAAGTGTAGAAAGAAAAATCTAAAGAAAAATTTGCACAAGAATTCAAAGAAAAGTCTACAAAAGGATTTGGAAAAGAATATAGAGACTACATTATCCAAAGAAAAGTCTACAAAAGAATATAGAAAAAAAATAGAAAAGAATTTAAACTCTAGGAGCAGATTTAGTAAAAAATTAAGAAAAGAATTTAAAGAAGAATTTAGAGAAGAATATAGACGAAAGTATAGAGAAAAATAAAAAGAAAAACCTAAAAAAAATATTTTAAATAGGTTTCATAGAAAAATCTAAACTAGAAAAGCAAAATAAAAGATAAAGAAAGAGTATAGAATGTAATCATAGAAAACAATAAAAGTCTACGAAAGAATCTAGAAAAAATTTAGAAAGCAATTTAGAGGAAACTCTAGGAGTAGATTTAATAAAAAAAAATAAGGAAGAATTTAAAGAATAAGCTAGAGAGGAATATAGACAAGAGTGTTGAAAATAATCTAAAGAAAAATGTAGAAAAGAATCTATAAATAATTCCAAAAGAGAGTTTATAAAAGGATTTATGAAAGAATCTCGACAAAAGCCAGAAAAGAATTTTAAAAAGTAGGAAAAAATAAGGAGAAAAATCATAGAACAATTTAAAGAAGTAATTAGAAAAAAAATTAAAGAAAAACCGAGAATAAACCCAACAAATTAAGAAAATGTTTATAGGGTGTCTCAAAAAAGCAGTTGTGTGCAATATAATTACTTCTACACTGAATAGGAAAAACAAATAAAAAAGTTCACCAAAGGGTAGATAAAAGCCTACTTTACTTTAACAAGACAAAAATAAGTAATGAAGAAAAAATATCAAAAACTTCATTATCTTTGAGATGAAACGATATGTCTCAAAGTTTGTGTAGTCTTTCTTGAGCAATCATTTACTTTTTTAACAGTTTACTTTAGATATCCGGAAGAATTTAACTTTAATGCCATCTAAAACAGCTAAACAATGAGTGCTATGTTCTGAAATTAAATTGCTCTGAATCTACACCGCCACTCTTTTGAATAAAGATCTCGTTTCTGAGGGAGTTGCAAACCTCATCAAACACATAATCACTTTTACTTTTGTTGATCTACTAACTTTTTAATTAGGAAAGTAAAAATGAATTTAACATCTGGAAAGTGGATTAGGCTTGAATCTGGTATGTAACTTATTTGATTTCAAAATTTATAGAAACCGGATCAAGAGTTCTTTTATAGAAGAAGGAAACATGTGGCAATAACAAATGAAGCACGACCAGTTATGTTTATAACATGTGTCTTCAATATAATCACATGTTTCTCTAATAAATTGTTTTATAATTGAGAATTTATCAATAAATATGACAAGTATTTTTCTTATTTTTACAAGTTTCCTTGCATCTGCTTGTTATAACACTTGTGATAACACACAAGAAAAAATAATTAGGTGATTGACGTCTCGTCAGTCCATAAAACCTCATCATCGAGTTATGTTTTTGATAACACACAAAATCCAAGAAAAACCACATCAGACTATATTTTTTATTAATAACGGACCATATCAAAGCATGCCGCTAACAAATTGTTTGTTTTATTGCTTTTTGAGTCTTTGAACCGAAAAAATGGTGGCGGCATCTTCAAAGGTTAACGACATTTTTAACCGCCACCGCAGCTACCATCTTGATGATCTCTAACACGCCTTAATCTATTTTTAATCTAAAGGGGGCAAAGCGCACCTTCGATAGCCCTTGATAACATCGCTGGTGTTTAAATTGTAATTTTATTCACTTACAGAGAACAGAAGGAGAGAATTGATGTAATTTTAAAATTTAGTAAGAAAATAGTCTTTATAATGTTGAGCTTCCGTGGTTAGTTTTGATTATGTCTAAATAAAGTAAGTTCTTTTTATTAATTAAATTGAAACATCAACTTCTTCAGTACCAACTATTGAGCCAAAAATCAAAAATATTTAATAGTGATATACACTAATAGAGTAATATATTCGCAAATAATGGCTACTATTAAGGGTATAAAACTCGCACTTTCTTCGTTTTGTAAATTTGATCTTCGTGAATAACAGTATTTATTATTTCGTATTGAAATTGCGTGAAATTCTATCAGAACTTTGATTTACTGTAAATTTTATGGTTATTTTTCTTCTTCGAAAGAAGAAAATTTGTAAGTTTCGTAGTTTCAAATTTATAAAAATTTTGTTTTGCTCTTTTTCCCAACCAAGACACTTTGGTCACATTCATTCGTATAGATATTTGCAAGATTATAATCTTTTTTTTTTCAGGCGTGTGCTCCGCGTTACACCTGGTTTCCAAGAGGTCGCTCCCGTCGTGATCCCGTAGGAACTTGCTACGTCTGCAACGGTTTCTTCGAGAAATTCAACGAATACTCACCTTGTAGAACTTGTAAGTCACAATTACATCATTAACCACATTACCTTCCCAACGAGTCATTTTTGACGCAAAAATATCTGCGACCACATGATGACAACAAAATCTCGGTGAATTGTCTGAAGAAATCCGGAAGTTTGTCTCTGGCTCAGTTCCTGTAGATGACGTCACGCCATGTGGTCCACACGTGTAAGGGCACGTGCAGCGTCACAAATTATTTTATTTATTAATTAATCCGTTGAAACCGTGAAATGAGGATAAACAGCGGTTTCAACACGAGGATTTGGAACCCTTCGATTGGGGTTTTCACCTATCAGGAGGTGAATGAAGATGGCCGGTTTATTGGTGTCGACAAGTGTCAGATTGTTTGATAAACAGATGTGGCGCCTCTGTTTAATTGTTTGATTGACACAAATGTATGTCGGTCTGAAGATGTGCTTCAGGAAATGATAAAATTATCTTTTACGGTGGTAGTTAGTGGTAACAATTCTTGAGTGTTTAGTAATTTAAAAACTGAAATCCATTATGTGTTTTTTTATTATTATCTTCTATACGAAAAGAAAAAAACATTAATTATTCATTTTTTCCCTCTTAATTTCCTATTAATTATTCAAAGATAGATGAAAGTTTGCAAACGAGCTCAGCGAGGAATATAATTCAATCAAACGATTGATATTCTTCAGTTGGTTTGAAAAACTGAAGAAACTTTATTCTTGGACGTTTTTTCACAAGTTTTCACAAACATTCTTCAAATTTCTTTCTAAAACTGTGATTTTTTTTATTGTAGCAGATTTAGAATTTCTTAAAAGTGTGATTCTTTGAATATACTAGGTATATAATTATTTTCTTTACTTTATTATACCGATAATGATATTGCGTTATTATAAAAATGATATTATCTGAAGATCCAAAGCTTTTAAATCAAAACTCGTATCTGCAAATTTATCTAAAATTACAGTAAAATGATGGTGTTATTTTTTCCAGATACGCCTTTTTAAATTAACTTGGATTGAAGATAAAAGTATACAGGGTGAAAGCGATACACCTTTTAAGACCGTAATTTTTTTCAGTAAAAGTTGTTTTATCGTAATGAGATTGGAAGAAATAGAAAAAATCTTTTATATATTGGGTGTTTTATAAAAATACAAAATAAAGAAAAAC